TTGGTTAATACGTATTAAAAGCTATAACATATGCATATCTTTCACCCAGCAATTCCAAGTCTGGAAATTTAAATTAAAAATCAAAGATACGTGAGAACATACTCATACAAAGATGTTATCATTTTTAAGACAAAAACTGGAAACACCATAAAGGCCCAGGAACAGGCCAACTAAATTACTGTATAGTCATACTATGAAGTAATATACAGCCAATAAAAATCAGGTTGAACATGTACTGAGTAATTCTCTTTGGGCAGTGGTATAAGCAGCACGGGTTTAATCTACTTTGTGTTTTTTCTAAGTCTTCTGCTCTGAACAATGATTATATCTGTAACTAGAAAACATGATCAAAAGTACATTTTTAAAGTGGCTCATTTTGCCATTTCAGACCTGAACGTCCATCTAAAGGTAATCAAAACTTAAGTTTGACTTGCTGACCAATTTAGTTATGATCAACCAAAATGTCACAGCTGCCATTACTGCTGCCTCCAACCATCATCAACCTCACACTGAACACGCTAAGGGGTGGTAGGTCCCAGGAGAAGAGAATTTAGACCTTCCTGTCTTCGTTTGCGGAAAGTGCTACGGCTGCTAACCAAAAGGTCAGCAGTTCGAATCCACTAGGTGCTCCTTGGAAACTCTATGAGGCAGTTCTACTCTGTCTTATACGGTCACTATGAGTCGGAATCAACTCAACGGCAATGGTTTTTTTTTTTTTTTTTTTTTAAATCTTCGTTTGCAAGGAGCTCTTGTGGTGCAGTGGTTAAGCACTCAACTGCTAACCCAAAAGTTAGTGGTTCAAACCCACCAGCTGCTCTGTGGGAGAAAGACGTGGAGGTCTGCTTCCATTAAGATTATAGTCTTGGAAACCCTATGGGGCAGTAAACCCTGCCCTATCAAGTCCCTGTAAGTTGGAATAGACTCAAAGGCAACAGCTTTATCTTTGCTTACAAGTTTCTTCAAGCCCCACTTCAGACCTGATCCTGGACATTTTGTTCTGTTTTGAAAGCTCCTGGAAACAACTTAATGTGCAGACAGGGTTTGAAAATCATGGTTCTCCCCAGACTGCTCATTCTACAGGTGGGAAACCTGAGGCCCAGAGAAGTCCAAAATGACACAGAGGCAGAGCCAGGCCTCAAATCAAGGTCTCCTCATTCCCAGGAATTGTTCCTTGCACTTCACCAGACCATAAAACCAAGGGTGGGGTTTTGTAAATTAACAGACTTGGAAGGCCTCAAATGTCTCAAGAGAAAATCTAGGAGCGAAAAGACTTCTAAAAAGAACCTAGATTTGATCCTTTCCCCAACCCAATTTTAGACATATATCTGAACACTTATCAAAAAGCACTTATTGAGCATGGTGTGGTTTAGAAAGATTGTATCTAGTCTAATGTAACCATACGGGAAGGCACTGCAAAGTCTAAATGCAAATGCATTGAGTAAGCAAAGACGATAGAAATCAAAATACCATTGTATCCAAGCCTGGCTCTATGCCAGCACAAACACATCCCTGACCTGGCCTTTGTCCTACCCCTGGTCCCTGCTCAGGGCAATACATTCCAAGGTGACTGCCAAGAATGCCCTCCTATGGTTACCCCTGTAAACCAGTTACCCCTGTAAAACAACAGCAAGACCTTCTTTCTGCCCTGACCCCAACCAGCCCCAATACCTTACACCTTCCCAATGAGTCAGAAAAAATGGGGCTCCAGAGGTTTTCCCCGGAAGCTGCACAGTGGAAAAACGTTTAGACTTGGGAGTCAAAAATATCTGGTTTGCCCTGATTGTGTGGACATCTGGGAAGTCCTCGGCAAATCACTTAACCCTTTCTTCTGTCTGTGAAACCCATGACTACTGGGCAATCCCTGAGGCCCTGTCCGACTTATTCAACGACAGCTCTGTGCAAGCCAAACCCAGCCCTAGTTTGTAGAACATGTAGCTAATCTTTAAGCTAGCAATGTGTGGTGTTATGAGAATTCGTAGAGGAAGCCCTCACTCAATCATTTCCTCACTTGTCCTGCTGTAAGGAAGAAAATAAATACAGAAAACGTGGGAGGTAAGAAAAATCAGATTGAGATCTAAGGTCACTCAAATGCAGTCAACAACTTTTCTATTTGAAAGGTCTTAAATCAATGCGGCAGTGCTGCCTGACTTTGAGGCTATGTGGAAAAATCATTTGATTTTCAATATTCACTCTTTAATTAAAAATGCATTGATTTTATAGTGTAGCCTGCACTCATTTATTCACAAAATTTACTTAGCTCCTACTATGTGCCAGGCACAGTGCCTGGCCACAGGGAGAAAATAATAAGTAAAACAGAGACATTTCCTGCATTCTTACAGACTACTGTCTTCTGGAGAACAGTCAGATATCCACATAAATGCATCTTTACAACATGTGGTAAATACTGTAATGAAGAAACCTGAGAAGCAAAGAGAGCCTTTAAAACGGAGAGCTAGCCTGAGTGGTCAGCAAAGGTGTCTCTTGAGAAACCGATCTCTGAAGAGAAAGTTGAGGTGTCAATGCCGATTCACAGCAACCATGTATGACAGGGTAGAACTGCCCCATAAGGCTTCCTAGACTGTAATCTTTACAGGAACAGATCTCCAGGCATTTTCTCTCACAGGTTCGAACGGACAACCTTTCACAGCCTAACGCTTAACCACTGCACCACCAGGGCTCCTTAGTTGAAGGATGAGTAGGGGCTATTTAGGGGAAGAGGAAGAGCATTTCCTGCTAGCCACAGCTCGGGTAAAGGCCCTGGGGTAAGGGAAAGCATGACTGTTGGAAGAAAGTTTTCTCAATTGTCCCTGAAAAGTCCTGTAAAATGAGGGCAGGTGTGCAATCATTTTCTTCTGAGAACTCTATGTGTATTTGTAAAACTGTTAATCTAAGTCACTTGAAACCAATCCACATTTAAATACATTCATTAACCTCTCATTTATCAAACATTCTCAATACAGTGATTTCTAATCTAGAATTTTTAACTCTATCTTACATTTTCATGATCTACTCTGAATGAAGTCCTGTGTTGAATGGGGAGGGGGAATCCCCACAGTTTGGCTCACTGAAGGCTCAGGCTCTTCAAGCAGCAAGAAGTCACCTCATTGCAAGAAGCCACTGCACCTTGTTTTTACAGGGCAAGGGGATCTTTTTCCAGAATTTAAAGTTACATCAACAAGGGTAATGTTTCAAACAGTCTGAAAAGCACTAATGGTAAAAGTCACTGTTATAGATTGAATGGTGTCTCCCAAAAAGATAAGTTGAAGTCCTAACCCAAACCTGTGAACATGACCTTGTTTGGTTGGAAGTAGAGTGTTTGAAGATGTTAAAGTTAACATAAGGTCATACCAGAGCAGGGCGGGTCCTAAGCCAATTTGAGTGCTGCCCTTGTAAAACAGAAGAGACAGGGACAGATACACAGAGGAAAGATGGCTGTGTGAAGATGCATCTACACGCGAGGAACGCTTGGGACTTTGGGAAGCTGAGAGAGATAAAAAAATGATCTTTCTCTAGAGTCTTTGGAGAGAACATAGCCCTGCCGACACCCTAATTTCCAACTACTGGCCTCCAGAATGGCAGACAATAAATTTCTGTTCTTATAAGCTACGCAGCTTCTGGTATTTTGCTACAGCAGCCACAGGAGACTTAATAGAGTCACTTTTCTTCTGCCTCCTGAATTAGGGAAGCAGAGCAGAAGCTGCAGAGAGCAACAGAAAGCAATTCAGGCATCTACTTGTGGGTGTATACAGCATGCACACAGAAAAAGCCATGGCACATTTCTTATTCCCCGCTTCCACCTTCCCATATAACACAAGAGAAAAGGGGGGAAGGTCTCCAAGCTCATCTAAAAGTTACTAGAATGTCATGTGGAACTGAGAAGAACAATAAAAGAAGAAGAAAAAAAAAGATGATAGTGGAGGGTTTCTCTTGAATGGGACAACCCCCCTCCCAAACAAATTCTAGAATTCAACTCCCACAATACTTCATTCCACATAGAAATCAGTCTTCATAATTCTAGATACTGTTGCTAAGTATAGAAATCTATACATACAAATAAATGCCTCCTACCTGTCATCAAAACCTTCTAGAAAGTACACATTTTGGCTTTTTTAAAAGAGTTGAGATTGTTACTATGTTACGTCTGTCTTCATTTGCAGGGACTTTTTTTCGTCTCCCAAGGAAAGCGCAGTTTCTGCAGTGTCCCGGCCTCTCCCCGCTGCAGGAAGCCCTTCCCTGCAGGGGCAGCCCCAGCGCCTTAGCATCTGCTGCCAGGCCGGTCCCTCCGCCTGGGTCCCCGTGCGCTGCGTCTGCAGCACCCGTCGGCTGAACCGCAGTGGGTTGTGTAACCACACTCAGCGCTAGCGGGCAGCTCGGTGAGCGTCCCTCTTGACAGCATCTGTTAAAAGTCACTGGTGCCACTAGTAAAAGACCCGTCAGACAGGAGGGGCTCCGAGACTCTCGGGGAGGAGGAGAAAAGGGTGCTGTCAGGACCCAGGAAGGTTGTAAATCTTTCTAGAAAAATATCTAAGCTTGAAGTTCTGTCCTTAAAGCTGGTGGTACAAGACAGCAAAGAGCAGACGCAGCCCCGCTACACCCCCAAACATGTGGCTCAGGGAAAGGGGGGGATGGGGAGGAAACTCATGGATCCTGGAGTTCTCGACCCACCCCTCCTCTTTTCAATTACGTAATTCTTGTATACTTGGGAAAAGATACACGAAATACACTTAACTACTATATTAAGGTAGAAAGTCTCTTAATAGACCGCATTTAAAGACTGGGCGCACTTAAAGCCTGAATTGATCTGTTTGCCACCTGGCCGCAGAAGAAGGTGGCACCCTGGTGCCTGGAGCCGGGCCGCCGCCGAGGATGGCGCCCTCTCCGGCGGGCGGGCTCGGAGCGCACCCGTGCCCGCCTCGCGGAGTCGCCTGGACCAGCACGTCCGCAGGCTGCGGCGCGGGCTTTCCCCTCCCCCGCCCGGCGAACACCTGGCCCGGGGTTACCTGCGGGGCCCCGGCTCTCCGCTGCCCGTTGCCATTGGCGGCGGGGAGATGCCCGGCCCCGGGGTCCCGCGCCGCGCCCTCCGCAGAGCCCACGCTGTTCTCCCGGGGGCCTTCCTCCAGCGCCGGGAAGAGCCCGCAGCGGCGCTGGAAGCGGGCCACCAGCTGGTCATCCTGCAGACTCCGCAACAGCTCGGCCATGGTGAGCCCGCGCCACTCTCCGCCGAGCCGGCCAGTGCTCTCGTCTCGCCGCCGCACCAGCCCTTGTACTCTTCCGGCGGCCCCGGCTAGGTGGGCGGGGCCGGGGGGCGCCAGCCAACAGGTGCGGCGCGGCTCCTAGCCCCGCCCCCGAGCGGCGCCCAGGTGTCCGTCTCCGCCTTGCTCAAGGCTGGTCTCCCGCCTTTCCGCCCGCTGCGCTCGGGCGCGCCGGGCGCCGGCGCTCCTTTGCCGGACGGTCCACTCGGGGCCGGCCGAGGAGAACGGGTGTTCCTATCTGGCCCCTCGGCTCGGCCACGCCCCCACGTCACCAGGCCCGGCGCAGAGGTGCCGCTTCCTGGGGACCAGCGGAGCATGTGTGGACCTGCACGTGGCCGCCCTGCCAGGCGCGGGCTGATCCGGTGGTGACCTTGCTTCCTTTCACTCCTGAGCCGAGGGAGAGCTTGGGTTTCCCTCCAGCTCCCGGCACCCAGCTCCCTATCCGTTACTTGCCCTCTGAGCGACCTATTCCCAGCAAGGACAGCGAGCCCCCTAAAGAAAATTCCTGAGTTCGCCTAAACTTGGCGTGGTACGACGTTTCTCCAGAGGTCTGAACTCCGTCGACCTTGCTCAGCAACCGCGGAAGGTCACGGTGGTCCCTGAATCCTCCTGCTCGTCCTGCCCCTGCCCTGGTGATTTGGCAGCTGGGAAACGCTTTTAGACGGGATGGGGAGGAAATGCACTTCTCTTTTGGTTTCCTGCGTTGAGAAAGATGCTTGCCCCTCTCTTCCTACTCCTTTTGTTCGCTCTGCCTCTGTTTAATGACTCTAGGAAGGCAGAACTAGAATGCTGGGACCTTTAGACCCGAAGAGAACAGGTGCTGAAGGGCTGGGAGGAGAATTTTACGTTCGTTGGTCCCTGCACCTGCTTTAGACGTCGCAGCGGGAGAGCAGCCAAGGGAACTTCCTGCCGGTTGGCCTTGGCTTTCCCTTTCTGGGGTTACTCCACCTTGGTTCAGGAGCGCTGATCCCCGATGAGGGCCTCCGCACTTCCTTAAAGGCAACAGTCAACTTTGGCCCAGCCAAGCAGCATGCAACAATAGTGCAATCCAATCCTTTTGCCTTCAGTTTGCAGCAGGAAGTTGCATACTGCCTGTCCGCCGATGCAAAGTCTACGGAGTATCTGGTTGCACAAATGGCTGTGAACGAATACCGTGTTTAGCCAGTTGTCTTTTTAGACCAGAAAGTCTTTGGGGATGTAACTTTCAAGGATTCTTTGACTTTCCTCATAACCCTAGTTTCCTTTCTCCGTGCTTCCCAACCCCTGCCCGGATAGCAAGGTCAAGGTGGCTGAGCAAGCTAGGAAACGCTTGGGATCTAGCATTTTCATACTTGTGTCACAGAGGAAGCACAGAGCTACTGTCATGTCTTGCCTAGGAAGCAGAAGGCTCCTCTCTCCATGTTGTTTGCTGTCATTTACAGGTACTGGGACCAAACTGTTTTAAAAGCATAGTAGTTCAGGACCTGTTCGTTTTCTGTGTTAAAGAAACATGTTATGGAATGGAAACGTTTGAGTGATGTAGCTCTCAAACTCAGTGCTTCCAATTTCCTTTCTTCCAATTAGGAAAAAAGAGGCAAAGCAAAACAGGGGCACACCTAACATAGGTTTAACAACAACAAAACCCAAACCCGTTGCTGCCAAGTGGATTCCGACTCATAGTGACCCTATAGAACAGAGTAAAACTGCCCCATAGAGTTTCCAAGGAGTGGCTGGTGGATTCGAACTGCCGACCTTTTGGTTAGCAGCCGAACTCTTAACCACTGCACCACCAGTGCTACAGCATAAGTTTAAGACTGAAGAATTGTATTCCAGAGTGCATGTTATCTCCTTGGAGGAGCAGGTAGGTACTGCCTCCAGCTTCCAGTGACTCCTGATGGCACCTGTGTGCCTCAGTTTCTTCCTGTAATCAAGTATAATCCTCACTTCCTGTCATTCTTAGCAAAGATTCTTAGGAAAATTGTTACATATGCTCTATAAGGCTTCTGGTGAGACTGCCATAGCAATAAGTATTATGCTGGACCTTTCAATTTAGGAAGGAATCCTCAGGAGAGGCTCTGACCATCTCAAGTGAGACTTAGAAGCTGGAGCTGGTTACTTCTGAACAGTGTTAGGAGTACTTCCCTGGAGCCTTCTTCTAAGGCACAGGCTGATGTTCTGAATATAAACTGCCTGAACACCAGTCTAACAAAAATCAACATCTTTGAGAAGTGGCAGGGCTGAAAGACTGCCCTAGCAACACAGAGAGATTAAATGGTAGTCTAAAGTCACAGAAAATAGTTGACGCTGCAGAAATAATCTATAATCTTTTGACAGTTTAACACTCGTCGTGCTTGGGAGAAATAAATTTTACTACATTTTTTCCAGCGCAGACATCTAGTTATTTGTACTTTATTCAGGTGTGTGTGTGTGTGTGTATTTAAGCAAAAACCAGCTGCTATCAAGTCAATTCTGACTCATGGCAGCCCCATGTGTATCAGAGTAGAACTCCATAGGAATTTCAATGGCTGGTCTTTCAGAAGTAGATTGCCAGGCTTTTCTTGCCGGGTGCCTCTGGGTGGACTCAAACCAACCTTTTTTTTTTTTTAATTAATTATTTTTATTTTTTCCATACAAAAATTTATACATACATTGTTATGTGACTCTAATTGCTCTCCCCATACTGTGACAGCACACTCCTCCTTTCCACCCCTGATTCCCCATGTCCATTCAACCAGCTCTTAACCCTCTCTGCCTTCCCTTCTCACCTCCGGACAGAAGCTGCCTGTTTAGTCTCTTGTATCTACTTGAGCTAAGAGGCACACTCCTCACAAGTATCACTTTATGTCCCACAGTCCAGTCCAATCCCTGTCTGAAGAATTGGCCTCAGAAATTGTTTTAGTTCTGGGCTGATAGAAAATCCAAGGGCCATGCTTTCCGGGTTTCCTCCAGTCTCAGTTAGACCATTAAGTCTGGTCTTTTTATTAGGATTTTGAGTTCTGCTCCACACTTTTCTCCTGCTGCATCAGGGACTCTCTGTTGTATTCCCTGTCAGGGCGATCATTGGAGGTAGCCGGGCACCATCTAGTTCTTTTGGTCTCAGGCTGATGAAGTCTCTGGTTTATGTGGCCCTTTCTGTCTCTTGGGCTAATACTTTCCTTGTGTCTTTGGTGTTCTTCATTCTCCTTTACTCCAGGTGGTTGGGACCAATTGATGCATCTTAGACTGGCCACTTGCAAGCTTTTAAACCTCAGCCACCACTCACCAAAGTAGGATGCAGAACATTTTCTTAGTAAGCTTTGTATGGCACTTGACCTAGATGTCCCCTGAAAGCATGATCTCCAGACCCCTACGCCTGCCACTCTGTCCCTCAAAGTGTCAAACTGCCAACCTTTTGATTAGCAGCAGAGTACTTAACTGTTTGCACCAACAGGGACTCCATTAAATGATTTATCTTAAAAGAATCAATGATGTATGTGTTAGTAGGGTAAAGCTGCTGTAACAAAGAGATCCAAAATACAGGAGCTTAAAGAGCATAGACAGAGCCATGGTGATGTAATAGTTAAGCACTCAGCTGCTAACCGAAAGGTCAGTGGTTCAAACCCACCAGCCACTCTGCAGGAGAAAGATGTGACAGTCTGCTTCTGTAAAAATTACAGCCTTGGAAACACTATGGGGCAGTTCTACTCTGCCCTGTAGGGCTGCTATGAGTCAGAATCAACTCAGTGGCAGTGGGTTTTTGGAAAGCTCATAGACGGTTATTTCTCTTTCAACAGTTCCGAGGTGAGCGGTTCAGGTTGGTGGTAGGTTCTGCTACGAAGCTCTACTCAAGGACTCAGGTTCTTTTCATCTTATTGCTCCATCATTCGCTGGTGCCTACCTGTAGGTCATTGTCATCTTCTACATGGTTGAAGCTAGATTATAGAAACATCTGAAGTCCAGCTCCTGAAAAGGAGAAGAGAATGAAATGTCCTAGGCAGTAATTTCTTTCCAAGCAAGTGAGGCAGAAATTCACACATCACTTCCACTGACATTTTCTCATTGAGAATATAGTCACATGACTTCAAGAAAGGCTTCGGAAGGTCAGCTCCAGCAGGGCCGCCATCTTTTGTCCAACTTAAACAATGTTACTATGGAAGAAGGGAAGACGAATTTTTAGTGGACAACCAGCAGTCTCCAACACAGTATGGAAATCAAACCTATGTTGGTTTAAACATTGTAAAATATAAATCTATTTATAATTCAACTCATAATCTGCCTAACTATGTCTGGGAAGTCTGTCTTTAATTTGGCACATTCCAAATGCTTATGTGCAGATATAATCTTTTCTTGTTCTTTTTTAAAGAAAGCATTAAAAATAAGTGTGCCAAGTCCATTCAATGAGGAAAGAATAGTCTCTTCAATAAATGGTGCTGGGACAACTAGTTCTCCTCATGAAAAAGAATGAAGTTGAACCCATACCTCACATTGTATATGATAATTAACTCAAAATGGATCAATGGCCTAAATATAAGAACTAAAACCATAAAATTCTTAAAAGAAAACATAGGGGGAAACTTTGGGACCTCATTTTTGACTATGGATTTTTAGCTATGACACCAAAAGCATGAGCAACAAAAGACAAAATAGATAAAACAAACTTAATTAAAATAAAAAACTTTCGTGTATTAAAGGACTTTATCAAAAAAGCGAAGAGACAACTTACAGAACGGGTGAAAAAATTTGGGAACCATATATTGGATAAGGGTGTAATGTCCAACCTATATAAAGAACTGCTACAACTTTACGACAAAAAGATAAACAGCCCAATGTTTAAGAATGAGCCAATAATTTGATTAGACAGTTCTCCAAAGAAGATATAGAAATGGCCAATAAGCACACCAAAAGATGCTCAATAGTCATTCCTCATTAGAGAAATGCAAGTCAAAACACAATGAGACACTACTTCATATTCACTAGAATGGCTAATAAATGGAGAAAAGATTGAAG